TTCTGAATCTATGATGTTTTAAAGAAAATGTCAGTTTTTCCAATGAAAGCTCTACAGAGGTGTCTTATGAAGAAAGAAAAAAAACCCCTAAGTCCAGTCTTTGAGTTGAAGTGACTAGTCTCTGCTTTAAGGGCAATCTAACCTGCAACCCCTATGTCCCAGCCAGTCAGGGGTTCGAGCACATCTCCTCCAGCAGTTCTTTAAGAATCAAAATAATAATATGGCTCTAACACAAACTTAGCAAACTTGCTGAGTCAGAAGCAAAGCAGTTCCCTTGCAGACAGGTCTCATCCTGACCACTGGCAGCTCAACAGCCCCCAGCAGGTGGGAAGAAGCCAGCACAGAGATGCACCCTGGGCAGGTGAGCACTTCTCTAACATGTTTCGATACTGTAATTTGTCCTGCGTAGGAATCCAAAGATTCTAGTCTCTAACTTCAGCAACTACATTTCATAACAGCATGGCTCACTTGGACAGACACACTTTATTTTAAACTAGAGGCCCGGTTCATGAAATCCATACACGGGTAGGGTCGCTAAGCCTGGCCGGTGATCAAGGCCGATCGGGGCCTCCCTCCCCCAGCTGCTGGATGCTGGCTGGGGCCTTCCTTCATTCTGTGCCGCCCCTTAGTCTTTGAGTTGAAGTGACTAGTCTCTGCTTTAAGGGCAATCTAACCTGCAACCCCTATGTCCCAGCCAGTCAGGGGTTCGAGCACATCTCCTCCAGCAGTTCTTTAAGAATCAAAATAATAATATGGCTCTAACACAAACTTAGCAAACTTGCTGAGTCAGAAGCAAAGCAGTTCCCTTGCAGACAGGTCTCATCCTGACCACTGGCAGCTCAACAGCCCCCAGCAGGTGGGAAGAAGCCAGCACAGAGATGCACCCTGGGCAGGTGAGCACTTCTCTAACATGTTTCGATACTGTAATTTGTCCTGCGTAGGAATCCAAAGATTCTAGTCTCTAACTTCAGCAACTACATTTCATAACAGCATGGCTCACTTGGACAGACACACTTTATTTTAAACTAGAGGCCCGGTTCATGAAATCCATACACGGGTAGGGTCGCTAGGCCTGGCCGGTGATCAAGGCCGATCGGGGCCTCCCTCCCCCAGCTGCTGGATGCTGGCTGGGGCCTTCCTTCATTCTGTGCCGCCCCTTGGTGGTCAGCGCACGTCATAGCGAGCGATCAGTCTCCTGGTCGACCTCTAGTGGGGACAATTTGCATATTAGACTTTTAGATAGATAGATAGATAGATAGATAGGTGACGCCACTGGCACTTGGGGGAAAAGTAATTTATTTGCATTGTTTCCTTTGTTCTACTGTAGTGTTAGGACTTGACATTAAGTATCACTCTTCTACTTCCTATTTACAGTTCATTCAGAATATTACTACAAATACAATATACATACTTTAAAAACTTATGAGGAACTGCAGTTTTTGTTTTTCTCTCCTCTTTACAGGTTTCTCAAAATCATTCAAATTAAAGGAAAATTTATATGGACATTTTCTGTACACATCTGAAAGAGCAGAGATTACATGATAAAAGCCAAAAGGATTTTGCACAAATACAATAAAATACAGAAAACAGAAAGTAAGAAGATGTTATTTGGGGTACAAATATAAACAATACAGTACCATTTGAGTAATGTAACAACATAATACTCACACTTTATAGAAATAAAACTGCAAACCTGGAGAATGCTCTGACAAATATTTAAACATATATATACAATGAGGTAAATGTACCTTGGTCTCTTGAGAGGTAATTTAAGTTTAAAGCAATTGACATTTTGAAGCATCTCCTTGACATATAAAGAAATAGCAAACACCCCATTCCATTGGCACAATGTGAAAAAGGGATATCAAAACACAGTTCATCATATTCATTCACAAATCTAGTTAAAAAAATAAAAATAAATTCAATGAAGTTCTTTTTAAGCTTTAAGAAACAGGTTGAATGTTATTAACCACATTTTTAAAGTTTACAATTAAAAATAAGATTGCATAACGAGATGGAAAACTTTGAATGTACTGACAATCCTCAACATCCTAGAAGTCCAGCATTCCTAGACAGAGGGCCATGGCTAACCCAGTGTTCCAAAACAGACATAAGAAGCTGTACTACATGTCCAGAGCTATCCCCAAGATCTCAAAAATATGTGAATTGGCATTTTTCGCCAAGTTGTAACAGAATCATAATTTGGAATCTCTATTATCTGGAGCCAAAACACTGCCACAATCAAGAAACAAAAAACAGGTGACTTACAATTGCTCTTTCAGTGTGAGGATAAAAATTAACTCTTGATGTGACATGTCCAATGGGATACTGATTTTGTTATGCATTTTAATTAGCACTTTGCCATCATGTTTTACAGAATATTCTATGTGACAGTTCTCAGATGTAGAGAAAAATAAAAGGTAACTCATGCATAAGCTGCAAAGTGGCCAAGTGACCAGTTACATTTTGTAGTAAGAACGGAAATTTGGAATTCTTGATGGCATGGCACTCTATACCAACTCAAGGCACTTCTTGAGCACTATTATTACAGCAGAATTATAGGCTCAGCTCTTTGGGCTTCACCCTGTCCTATAGGGAATACAACTGGCCACGGCTTCCGGCATATCTCCCACTGCCATAGCTGCCACTCGTTGGCAAAGGCTGAAGTCAAAGTAGGGCAGCCAGCAGGACCATCATCTGCCCGATCTCCAAACTTGGAGACCCTTCTCAGTAACATCCAATATTCAAGGAAATGAAAAATGAAAGTATGTCCCACAACTTCCATCAACCATTTTAGATATCACGATAGATACCAAAGTCAGCTATTTAGTGGAAAGGCTGCTGGGGAAGGGGGAAGGGGGGAAGGGAAGGTTGGCAAGGTTATGGTCTCTGAGTCAGGGATCAGCAGGAAGGCAGGTTGAGAGAAACAGAGCTGAAGTTATAAAAGGAAGGACCATGCATGTCTGTGCCCCCGTAGGCCATACCTCCCCATCCTCATTCCTCCAGGGTATTGACAAAATGGATGTGGACAGGTAATTTGCCTGAAGGTATATATTAGCCAAGTTGAATCTTAGAAGGTGAGCATCTGAAGACAGGCAGTATAAACAAAGGCTTAAGTTTCTAAAGGACAAAATTAATACTCTAGTCAAACTTAACTGCAGATAATCTGTTTCATCTTTTAAATTACTTTCATTTTCAATATTAGCCAATTGAGGTTTATCAAACTGTCATTAGCCAAACAAGGAACTAGCTGCAATATGTAAATAAAATTTAGAACTAAATTTCAACTTTAAAAAATTCCCTGACTCATCAAAAAATACATTTTATCGACTTAAGAAAAGTATAATTGTAACTCAATCTTTGATTTCATAAACAATATAATCAACAAAAATTGATTACCTTGTATGAAAGTGAGCAATCATATGTCACAACTTTAAATCAGACAAGAACTTTTGGTAGGTTCTTAAAATTATATAAAAATAGTTTGTGATAAAATACATTGGTCCCCTGGATTTCATAAAGCAGATCTGGCAGGTTTAGAAATGGCAGGGGGAAAAAAAAGAGTGCCTAATCACAGAGCTAGAGATTATTAAACAGGAAATATAACACAATTATAAAAACAAACCTGTCAAACTCATATATCTGCTTTAATGAAATTATGGAAACTACAAAAATAACTCAAATTTGGAGTCAAAATATTAACTTCTAAGCACATTTCCCCATGACATTTTTAAACACATGAAATTGACACTAAATTCCTGTGTAATGTCATTTTTTCTAAAATTACTTTGGTTTTAAGACCAAATAGTCTTTCAAACTTAGTCTATGTATAAGAGATAAGACATTATCAGAATGCAGTTCAGTCAGCGTCAATGGCCACTACCTCTTACTGACCTGAATACTGTAAAGGTGATTCTAACCCTTTCACTGGGAAATCGATGGCACCATAAAGTCAGTGTCTGCCTCACAGCTAAATAGTTTTGCCCCTCAGAATAAGATCACAGTGATAAAGAAAACGTTGAAAACTGTAAAAGCTCTGCAAAGACTTTTAGCACTGGAAGTAAAACCAGTTGTTATAAGCTAGTTTCAACTTAATGTGAGAAGACCATGACCAGTTTATTTTAAACATTCAATTTGATCAAAAACATTTGTAAATGGAGAACCTATACTCAGAATACGCTTTAGCTACCACTCTCCCAAATACCACGAGTGTGCTGAATTTATTACAGAGCCATGTAAATTAAGCAGTTAAAATATCTGCACACAGAAGGAAAGACTGAATTAAAAGCTGCCTTCCTCAAAATGTAGTGACACCTCAAAACCACACTAACTCTAACCTCAGTTACAGACAGAAAACCCACCAGTGACTCCTACGTAACAAATGTGACTCTCTCGCACACCTGTTATCTACTCAATTAACTACCTTTACCTTCCTAGAAAAAGGCCTATCATTTAACATTAACCATATTCTAACTTTAAACGTAATTCATTTCTTAAAAAAATAACACTGGCCGAAACCGGTTTGGCTCAGTGGATAGAGCGTCGGCTTGCGGACTGAAAGGTCCCAGGTTCGATTCCGGTCAAGGGCATGTACCTTGGTTGCGGGCACATCCCCAGTAGGGAGTGTGCAGGAGGCAGCTGATCGGTGTTTCTCTCTCATCGATGTTTCTAACTCTCTATCTCTCTCCCTTCCTCTCTGTAAAAAATCAATAAAAATATATTTTAAAAAAAAAATAACACTGTCTTTGATCACATAAAGAACAAAATGGCTTACAGAATGCCACACAACTTTCCACACGCAGCTAGACAAATTTTCCTTTTTAGAAAAATTAGTCTGTATGCTACCAATTTTAAATTAAAGTACTATAAGCATCTAGAGTGCCACTTGATATTTTTTAAAGTATACTTAGACGACACAACTAAAATGCAAAACCCTGATGAGAGACTATCCAACATGACCATGGTAACAATTTACCAATTAATGCCACTTCATTTCTTTAGTGGTTTAAGCACATTCTGGTAGGAGAAAGGCATTTTCAAACTGGAATACTAAATGACATCAGAAAAACTCTGCAAAAAAAAGCAAAAGAGAAAATGTCTGGTTTACCCAGATAAACTATCTGAATTGGAACACTACAGGTTTTAACACGCACAGACTTTAAGCAATTCCACTCATTTCCATTACAAAGACACTGAAGTGGCACTTACTGGTATAGTACAATCCCATTTGAAGGCATGTAATATTCTGAATATATGAAAGAACGGTAATCGTATACAAAATAAAATTGCATAAATTATGTTCTTCACTCCTATATGAGGTCATTTTTAGACTCAAGCTAAGAGTTTTTTAAGTGTTAGTTTTAAGATCCTGAAATTTACAGAACAGTACATTCAACGTCTGAATCAAGGAAACTCTTTAGTGGTTCAGAATCCTCTGAGAATGTACTAACCAGGAGTAAATTACTTTCTTTAAAAATGAGAAATGCTTCGGGCAACTCAGCAATCCAGCTCCTTTACCCTTAACGACGATCTTCAGCACAGCAGAGTTACCTAACGTTAAGACCAGCAATTTTAGCTTTAAAAAACAAAAAGTTTTGTATTAATAAAAAATAAAGGTAGACTATACAACACTTTGTAACTGTCCTGGGAAAGAAGAGTTCATAGTGCACAGAAAGGACCCACATGGCTGATTCCTGGGCCCAAAGAAACCACGGGAAGTTTTAAATTGACCTATTACACTGTTGCAAAAGGAGCAATATCCTTCCATTCCCTCTCAGTGAGGTAGAACAAGTGACCTCCCAAATTAGAGCCCAGGAGCAGATCTGAAGAAAAGGAGAGTTCAGGCAAAGCCGCAGAGTTACATTTTGATGCCTTCCTGTTGACTGAGTTGTGACAAAGTTTTCTTAATCCGCAAAGCTGTAAGCCTCGCTGCTCCATTGGCATACCAACATTCTCTCATAATTTTAGCCATTACTCTCAAGGCCTACAAGAAAATACAAGAAAAAGAATTAATGATGCACTCTCTCAATCCATCTAGATAAGAATATAATTTATCTGCGAGTTTTCCTTCTAAATGACATTTCTTAATGTGCAAATTTTTTGTTTGAGCATTTGTAATACCATGTGAACAGAAATAACCTAAATTCCCATCGATGAGGTACTGATGCTAGCAGCTGGAAAGGAGACACAGAGCGACTCACTCACCTGAAAAAGCTGAATCCTAAATCAGAGCTATGTAAGGCAAAGAAGGAACTTGACTCACAATAATTTAGAGTGAAATTCTGGCGAAAAATAGAAGCATTAGCTAAAAGAGCTGGAACCCCAGATACCTGCCCTTCCCCCTTCCCTACCCCAGTAATAGACTAGAGGTTTGTATCTGAGAGGGTAAAATAGAAATTTCTGACTTGGGGAACATAGATGAGAAAGTTCCATACTGACAACACACTAAATGCTAAGACCATAGGCTTTCTCCCCAAAACACAGGCAGCAACATGTACATACTACTCCAGGCAAGAGCCTGGAAGAGTCTTCCCTGGAGCATGTGAGCAGCCCTTAGAGGAGAGACCTGAAGGGACTGAGATCAGTGGCCCCTGTCAGATCACTTAAAGATTACAGTCAAAAAGCTCCATTCCTGTGCACAGAGCTTCCTATAAGCATTCAGTGCCCTGTTTTTAAACAGAGCATGAGTTTCATCAAACATTTGAGAGAAGTCTATAAAATGCAGAAGCTGACACAAACAGAAAAAAGCAGCTTGGAGAAAACAGAAGCTGTACACAGAGAAAAAAAAAATCAACAATCTATCATTAACATCCTCAAAGAGATCCAAAAAATATGGTATTGGATATTTCATTGATAGATTTTTGTTTCTGAGGTCTAACATTCATAATCAGAGTTGAAAAAAGAAAAGAGAGGGAAATGAAAGAGAAAATCAAAGAAATATTTCAGAAACATTTCCTAGAAGTGAACATTTGTTTCTAGATTAAAAAGGACCAAGTGCCCATCACAGACATATATTCATTCAACAAATATTTACTGAGTGCCTACCACATACCAGATTCTGTCCTAGGTACTGGAGATACGGCAGTGGACAAACACAAAATCCCTGCCTTCATAAACCTTATATTCTAGAGCAAGGGTGGGCAAACTTTTTGACTCGAGGGCCACAATGGGTTCTTAAACTGGACCGGAGGGTCGGAACAAAAGCATGGATGAAGTGTTTGTGTGAACTAATATAAATTCAAAGTAAACATCATTACATAAAAGGGTACGGTCTTTTTTTTATTTCAATATAGAACAGCCGAACGGGCCGGATCCGGCCCGCAGGCCGTAGTTTGCCCACGGCTGTTCTAGAGGGTTAAAGCATAACATTAACAAGTAAGCAAAACACATGGACTGTCAGTGGTAAGTGCTAAGGAGAAACATCATTTAGGGAAGAAGATAAAATATGCTAGATGAGGAGGATGCTTTGTTGTTGTTAAACCTCATCTGGGGATATTTTTTCCCACTGATTTTTAGAGAGTAGAAGGGAGGGGAGGGGGAAGGGGGGAAGAGAGAAGAGAGGAGAGAGAGAGAGGGAGATAGATAGAGAGAGAGAGAGAGAGAGAGAGAGAGGAAGGAAGGAAGGAAGGAAGGAAGGAAGGAAGGAAGGAAGGAAGGAAGGAAGGAAGGAAGGAAGGAAGGAAGAGAGAGGCATTGATGTGAAAGGGACACATGGATTAGTTGCCTCCCACATGCGCCCAGAAGACTGGGGCTGGGGATGAAACCTACAACCCAGGTACATGCCCTTGACCAGAAATCAAACCTGCGAGTGGGCAGACACTGTAACCACTGAGCCACGCCAGCCAGGTCAAGAGGGATGCTATTTTAAACAGATGGAGAAGTAACATCTCATTGACAAGGTAACATTTAAGCAGAGACCTAAAGGAGGGGAGGAATGAGCAAACCAGGAAAACATGTGATCCAGGAAGGAGAATTCATGACAAAACAGGCAAAGAGAATCCCAGGACCAAAGGTGAGGGATGTCCCAAGATGAAAGCTGTACAGCTGGGTTAGAGAGCAACCAGTCCCAACTGGAAAAGGTCAGAAGGTTCTGAAAGGCACTTCTTTAGTCAGTTTCATCTATTTTTTTAAATATGTTTCAACTATTGAGAGGAGATTTATAAAACCCTAGGAAAGTGAAAAACTGAATTAGTGATAAGTACATAAAAAACTAACTATATGGAGAAAAAACAAACTGAATGGCATTAATTCAGCATGATGTGGTAGTCACTGCAAGTTCAGGTATGCTCTTAAACTTTTCTTCATGGTTAAAAAGCCACCTATCTGTTCAGGAAGAATCTGTTCGAATTACAGAGTAAATACAAAAATACTCAAGTCTGTACTGCAGTATTAAGATCAAATTTTTCAGAGGCAAAATCCAGCCCAATTTCATTTGTTAAACATGCCGATTCTTTGCACACATAAGACGTATCTGGGTCTAAGTACATGGTTTTGTTGGAGATAGCTAAGGAGAGCTCTTGATGTCAAAGGTTCTACTGAGTCCTACATTATTTTGAGATGTAAAATCAACTACTTAGTGGTCAGCTTTTAATTCCTCCTAAAGTACAAAACTTCAAATCTGGAGGGAAATGTTCTGCCTCACCAGTATTATGATTAGTAACAGGCAACAATTAAAGATGGATTCCATAAAATTTGTCTTAAAAGTTCTTTAAATTTACAACTACAAAGAGATTTCTAAAACTTTTTGTAAAGGCTAGGGTTGAGAAGCTCAGACACTGTTGGGGGAGCTTTTCCCCCAAATTTCTGGTGAGTGATCATACGGGCAATGAGAAGAATAAGATATAAAACCATCTGAACCACCTTCATAATCATCTTATCCAAGTTCTTCATTTTACAAAAAGTCATGCTAAAGTTAGAGAACTGAAGGCATTTGCCCAGCGTCGCTCTGAAATGGTACCCAGGCTTGACCTAGAATACTGGTCTCCCGATTCCTGTCAGCACGCATCCCACTATTCTGGACTGCCCTGATTGAAGGGAAGTATTCATTCAAAATGCAGGTGCTTTGGTTATCGGCAGGTCCAAATAAACACTGTTCTCATGGCCAGTGCAACTACACCATGGCCCTTTCAATGTGCTTATAAACTAACATGAAAAACAAATTATTCTGTTTTACTCAGTTTAACTGCTATGAAAAAGAAAAAGAGAATCTGTGTCTGTTTTCCTTAAAGAAAAGTAGCAAATTTGCAGTTACTAAACAGAAGTAGTTTAGAAAACTGCATAGTGTCTAAAGGAAATACTCACTTCACAGCTCTGCCATCTGTTTGGAATATTTGGCCTCAACTTCTGTTCACAAACAACTTTTCTCATTTCTTCAACTGATGGATCAGAAGGTACAAGATCATAATAAGGCAGCTGGTAATCTTCATGAATTCCTATATTGGTAAAAGAAAGAAAGAAAAAATGGATTTTAAAGCATTTACTCAGATAATGCCAGACCATTCTTTGACCAGGCAGGAAAGGAAGTCCTGAGCGTGCTATCACAGGGTCCCATTACTAAACTAGGTGAGTGAACAGGGTTCACAGCTTGCTCTGTCTCATCCACATCTCTACCAACAACCCACCTCCCAACCTGATTGGGCTCACACCTTGAAACTACATATTACTGTGGGATCATAAAGGCTATTTGAATGATGATGAATTATGAGCTGTGGGGACTAGATTGACAGTTTCTTCTAGAACTCGTAAGAGTTTTAATGAGTTTTTCTTCCATGAGTGCATGGCCTCTCACTTGGCATGGGGATATACCCTCTATCACTGAGATGGGAATCCTACAAGACAAGCCTGAGGCGCAAATCCCTTCCTCTACTTGCATCTGTCAATGACCTGTTCTCTCTGCTACAATGCAGAGACACACTCTGCCCCTCACTGCCTCAAAAACCTGAGACCTTAGTCCAGTGATGGTGAACCTATGACACGCGTGTCAGAGGTGACACGCGAACTCATTTTTTTGATTTTTGTTAAATGGCATTTAAATATATAAAATAAATATCAAAAATATAAATCTTTGTTTTACTATGGTTGCAAATATCAAAAAATTTCTATATGTGACACGGCACCAGAGTTGAGTTAGGGTTTTTCAAAATGCTGACACGCCGAGTTCAAAAGGTTTGCCATCACCTAGTCTCAGCCAAGTGTGGGCCCCCAGATAAGAGCCTTTCTCAAGGAAACATCAAAAGTGCTCTATCTAAAACTAAATTTAAAAGTAAAAACAGACCTGGTCAGCATGGCTCAGTGGCTAGAGCATCAGCCCACACACCAAAGGGTCTTGGGTTCAATTCCTGGTCAAAGGGATGTACCTGGGTTGCAGGTTTGATCCCCAACCCCGGTCAGGGCGCATGTGGGAGACAACGAATCCATGTTTCTCTCTCCCTCGATCTCTCTCTCTCTCTACCCTTCTGCTCCCTCTCTTAAAAACACACACACACACACACACACACACACAAAGGAAAAAATATCCTCACTCCTTGAGGATAAAAAAAAAGTTAAAGCAAACTTACGTCAAAAAGCAACGTAATGGCGGTGTAATTGTACTGTACTCTGTATACCTAATTTCCAAGTTGGGAAAAATAACCACCATCTCAGGGGGAAAAATCAGTTTGACTCAGTGCATGCTAGACAGTTTCCTGGGTGGCCACCAAAGCAGTCATCCATTCAACATAACTCTATTTCAAGAAAATAAAGGGTTAGAGTCTGATGCCTTCCAAGATTCAAGAGGAAACAGAAAAGGAATACATTAGGATAAAGCTGTGCATTAGGTAAAGCATGTCACGTTGTGTTCCCCCCATTACAGGTTTTGGCTCCTTTATTTTCTTGGCACTCTCCTGATCACCTGGTGAGCATAATTTTAGACTGTTGATGTGTTTAATTTCATTCAATAAAAGAGAAAGCAATTCTTAAACAACTTCTGTTTATGACAAACTGTTGAGGAAAGGGGAAGAAATTTACCACCAATGGAACATCTTCGAGCTATTTCCCAGAATACTAAGCCCATTGCATAGATGTCAGCACGCTTGAAGGATTCAAAGTGTTTCATATTTATGGAATCATCTAGAACTTCAGGGGCCATGTACCTAAAAAAGAAATCAGTATTTTATTTTATTGAATTGTGGCCATATTATTTTTGAACTGTTTAATAAATATTCTTTTACCCCTGAGAATTAAAAAAGAAAAAATATATATATTAAGACTTTCCCCCTCTTTCAGCATGGTACTGCTGGGTTTTTTAGTTTTTTGTTTTTATTTAATATATTTTATTGATTTTTTTTTACAGAGAGGAAGGAAGAGAGATAGAGAGCCAGAAACATTGATCAGCTGCCTCCTGCACATCCCCCAATGGGGATGTGCCCGCAACCAAGGTACATGCCCTTGACCGGAATTGAACCTGGGACCTTTCAGTCCGAAGGCCGACGCTCTATCCACTGAGCCAAACCGGTTTCAGCATGCTGGGTTTTTTAAATGACCCATCCTTATAAATATTTTCCCAAAGTACATAAAGTACAAAGTAAAAAATCATTCCATTACTATCACACAGTGTTAACGTTTGATGAATATGCTTTCAGACATTTCTCTATTCATACAAATACAGTATTACATAACTGAGATCATATTTAGACTCAAGAAAAGTATTATATAACCATACTGGCTTCCAAATTAATGATGTCAATTAAACCCTAATTGCTACCTGCCTTATAATCTTAGTTTTCAATGAAAGCCACAGGAAACAACTGTGACTGTTAACAAATGTCCTGATGCACACCACCTACTTTGTCATGCACTTTGCAGGAACTATATATTTTAATCTAGAAGTCTCCTCATTAAAATCGGGTGGACAATAGGGCAGGGACATATCCCAGGGAAGAAAATAGTAGATTAAAACGAATGCTAATTTTCCTATTGATGCCACAGTGTGGAGTCCTGAGGTTTCAAAAGCCCTACCAAGGTTACAGATCAGGACCTACAAAGACCTGTGGCAACCACTGTACTGCAACCAGAGTTTAGAATTCTGAGAGTCCCTACTGAATCCAGAAGTCATAAATACAACTTAGATAGAATAAAGCTTGGCTCACTTCAAGGCCAAGGTGGTAGTTTGAAGATATGTTGTGATATAGAGCAAGCTTGTGTTCACAGGTTCAAATCTCAGCTCTTCAGCTTACCATCCATTTAAAAGGTTGGCCACATTACATAACCTCTATGAGGTGTATTCCTCATCTGTGACTTGAGAATAATGACACCTACCTAGTTAGATTATTTTGAGGACAAATATTTACTGAGTATCTACTATGTATGAGGCACTGTGATTGATACTGAGAATACAGATTGCTTCCAAGTGGCCTACAACCCAATGGAATATACAGACAAATAAATAATTACACCATAATGTGTTAAGTGCCTTAACAGTCCAATTTCAGCATGCCATGAGAGCTGTTGGCAAGAACACCTAACAGTCCAGAAAAGGCTTCCTATGAGAAAGAAAGGGTGAGTACAAGTTAGGGAAACAGTAGGGAAAAGTGGACTCTAGGTACAGCACATGCAAAAGTTTTAAGGAAGAAAGGCAGGCATATTTTCAGGAACTGAAAATAGTTGGGATAGTTACAGTACAGCATTTGAGGAGGGCATCAAATGAGATAATATATTTAAAAATTTCATTAAAATGATTGGCACACAGTAGGTACCCTATAAACATTAGCTCCTATTGCTATTATAATTAACATCACTAATGAAAATATTTTCTGGAAGGACCATCTTTCATCAGCAGGCTTCTTTTTAAGTCAGGTAACCTTGGTTTCAGAGCAGACAAAACCATAAGATCTTCTACCTGTGGCCAATCTAATAAAGGTTGAGTTTCAGAGAAAATATGTATATGCAGATGAGAAGGAAAAGAACTTGCTTTTAGAGCATATTAAAGACTATTTATTCACAAGTATACCGTTTTGTTCCCACTCTGTGGTTTGGAGCAATATCAATTGTATCTGTGGCTGAATCATGCCTTACTGCCAGTCCCAAGTCTGCAATACAACAAGTTCCGTTCTTCTTTACCAAGATATTTTTTGATTTCAAATCTCTGTGAGCAATGGCTGGTTTTCCTAAAGAAAAAGAAATGAAACATAATTGCTTAAAAGGTAGTACCAATCACAATTTTTACCTGGGTCATTACTTAACAACCTCAAGTGAAACAGGTAGCAAATGGATAATCAGTAGAGCATAGAGATTTGTTGGTGTCTGATATCCTACATAGCACAAAAATCATAGCATAAACATTTAATAACTAAAAACATAATATTTAATTTTTCAACTGTCAAAGGGTCTCATGCAGCCTTATCTCAAAGTCAAATATAATTTTGTTAGATGGAAGATAACATTTATATAGCATGTTGACATTTATAAAGCATTTCCACTTTCATTTGATACTACACATAAAAAACACATCTCTTAGACTTGAATTCTGAAATCAATATCCTCAAAAATCACGAGTAGGAAACTGAATGCTATTTTTAAGAACTCACAAAAATATGAGTATTGTTACAATGACTACAGGATCTTTAAACAAATTCCTAGATTCCTGACTCCATGTGAGATTTTCAACAGAAATATAACGTCTCCAATTAGACTGACTTCCTACGAAAATGTTCTGAACAGACACTAGATCCATGGGAATTGAAAGTGAAAACAGGATTGCTTCAAGTTACCTTGGGTACCAACAATCTCCATATGAAGATGGGCAAGTCCACTTGCTGTGGACAGAGCGAGTTTTATCATTCCTTCCACAGTAACTGTGTATCTGTTCAAATAATCGAAAAGGGATCCATGCTCATGATAATCTGACACCAACCAGAGCTGAGTCCATGTACCATTGTCTGCAAAGTATAATAACAAAATTTCAGACAGGCTGTAGAACATTTACAATTTATTTGTTCAAAAGTTATCACTTTACTCTATCCCAAATCCCACTACAATATGATCGAACCTTAAATTTGTAAATATTTCCTTCATATTTTCCTGTATTTTCATTTTGTCTTATACTTTTAGATATGCATCCTTTAGGTCCTCAGAGTAAGCCTCATTTCCTGAGATAAGGCTGGATGACTAATCCCATTTAAGAGACAAGGAATCGGTGAAGGGCTGAGGAAGGGGAGAAAGTGGGATGGAGGGGGGCTAAGGGGGGCGGGGGACGGAAGGAGACAATCTCTAATGCTTTCAACAATAAAGATAAATTTAAAAAAAAAAGAGAAAGACAAGAAATCACAGTTCAAAGATGGTAATCTTAAGTCTACAGAGACAGTGGTAAAGTGGGAACTCTTTAGTGCCTAGAAAAATGCCTGGTTCAGGGTAAGTGCTCAGTGATTGTTTCTGGGAGGAGGGAAACAATGAAGGGAAGCAGGAAAATGAGAAGTATCAGGACCCTAGTATGGCCACAGTGTGGAATGGAGCAGTATGGAACAAAACTCAAAGTGAGGTGAAATGAAGAAATGCAAGCTTTAATGAGAGGCTCTGAATATAGTTAACAAAGAAGCCACACGAGATGATTATGACTCTAAGACTTCATAAAAGTATATCACTGACACACGGAAAAACTGAGCCAGAACTGAAATGTCAGGAGAAGAAAAAGTTGGGACTGAACCCAGTTTTACACACACAAGGTGATTTTAAACCTCAAGAACTAGGAATGTATGTACCAAAAGTGCACTTGTAAGCTGATGCATGAATTTGCAATGTGTTTTCCCATGGGAATCAAGGTAAAGGTTTTGGATAGTCTGGTCCACAAAAGCCTATTTAACCTACAAGTAGCTAGAAATATATGAAAAACCACATTTCATGAAATTGTGAGAAAAAGTATTACAATAGTAGGAAGCAGCACAATTCAGTAAATGATACACACCTGAAGTCATTGTGACCTGAGTTCAAATCCAGGAGCTGTTATTGACTAAGTGACTTCAGACAAGTTTCCTAACCAGTGAGCCACAGTGTCTCCCTTTACACAACAAGAATACCTTATTTTGTAAGACCATTAAGAAGATTTTAAAAATAGAATAACAGATTTTTTAAATGCATTTAGTACATTAAAGCACTTAGTTCCATAGCATGGAACATGAGAATTTAAAATGTGCTGTTTCTTTCCTCATTAGTTATAAAACAAAAGACAAAACCCAAATTGACATAAAACAACTTCTATATTTTGAAGGCTGTTATCTGAAGGAAAGATCTCTGATTAGAAGAGATCAAAAAAGATGTTTTCAGAAGATTCTGGAGGGGATTTTTCAGTACTTTCAAAAGGATTTGGAGATTCGTGATAGTAGTTCTTTACAAACTTGTTCTTCATAAATTGATTCTGTTCAAATTGTACCTTGTCTCTTCCTTGACACAGATATATCACTACTTTATCTGCCTGCTTATTATCCATGACTGAATTATGAAATACAAGAAATAAATAGGAACACAGGCAGATGGAAGATAGATTTTTCTGAGGTAATTGACAAGAAAAGCAGAAGGAAAAAAGATATGTAAGAGGCTGTGCATATATGAAAGGTTATCTGGGTAGATTTAACTATACCAGGAGAATGAAGATAAGGGAGAAGGGAACTGGGGGAGAGGGGCAAGGGAAGAGCCAGCGAGGTCAGTTAGTTCCCATGGTGACCACCAGATGACAGCACCAGCTTGGTTGCTGCTTGAGCAAATGCAAAGAGAAAGCTCAGCCCACAGCAGCAGGAGCATTTTGTGCTAGTTTGCGACTTGGAACATGCCTAACAGAAAATATTTTCAGGAAACCAATAAAATATAATCAGATTCAGTCTCTAATTCTAACTACCAGTTTTCAAATAATACAAGGAGCAAGTTCAGAGACAGTATAGGAATTCAATTAGTAAAATCCAGACTGATAAGCCCTACAGGACAAACAATTTAGTTTCTTCAACAAATAAACTGCAAGAAGAAAAAAAACAAAAGATGGCGAAGGAACCTAGAGATTTTAAAGGACTTAGGATTAAAACCAACCAAATGCAATGTGTGGACTTTGTATCCTAAAATGAATAACCAATTGTTTAAAAAATAATAATAATAAGAGACAGCTGCATAAATTTAAAACTGACTAGATATTTGATATTTTTTAAAGTGACAATAGTAGTGTGATTATGTTTCATTAAAAGTTCTTTATAGTCTAAAGATACAAATGAGAATGTTGATGGATGAAAAGATATATTATCTGGAATTGGCTTCAAATAATTTAGTTAGGGGGCAGTGTAGGTGAAATCAGAGATCAAATATGATTGGCAATGAACTAGTAATTATTAAAGGTGAGTGATGGAAGTTCATTATACTATTCTTTTTTATATAATGGAAATTTTCTCTAAATAAAAGTTAAAAAAATAAACAAGTAATAAATGCTTGTTGTATATAAATTTGAAAATACAGAAGCAGAATGAAAAATCAAATTATCCATAATTACCAACTGAGTTTAAACACAGTTAACAGTTTGAAGCAATAAACATTGTTGAAAAAAATGGGAAGGGAGAGAAGGAAAAAGATAACTACGGTTCTGGCCAATCTCAAAAAGATAATGATAGCATTTTTTAAAAAATAGGAAAGCTGGGAAGCATTTGATTCAGGTTAGGAATAATGAGAGTTGAGTTGTAACATACGTCTCTGACAAAAGCTATAAGAGTAGAAATTGTAGACAAAAGATAGTAAGTGCAGCCAAAAAAGTAGTTCAAGTACAGTCTGAAGTCACTGCTCACAGTCACCACTCATTCTGACTCTCCCCTGAAAGGGCTTCCTTGCTTCCTCAGCATCTGATCTGACCCTGGACCTTAAGCACCTAAGCCACAAGCAAGGAGTGTCCATGTGGTTTTGGAGAAACCATGTATCTACTTAATAATCTATTTAAGCCCCAGGGAACTTAAAACAGACTACACTGAGAAGTTTTTTTTTTTACTCTCCTTATAAATAAAGTTATTAGTGTATATCAGAATGCTCTTAAGGTGAAGAGGTTAAATGGAAACAGATATCTGGGCTCTATCCTACCTCAAATTGTTGAGCAACCCGAGTTTATAAGTTTTTCTGTATTATGACTTCACTCAATAACTAACTGTCCAGAAGCAAAATAACAAAGCACATGGCTTTTTAAAAAATTAGATGTTATAAAACAGAGATTTAGGAACAGGTTGTCAAGAGTCAAGGAAATCTTTAAGGAGTTCCTGGTTCTAAAGACTTCTAATATATTCCATTTGACCAAATGGGTCTAATCTATATGACACACATCTATTTTTCTCATTAAATTTGACAGTGCTCAGTAGCCATATTTGTAAAAAGACTTTATTAAATAGATTTTGTTACTACTACACTCAAAGGAAAAGTAAATGTTACTGACCTTTATTGTCTGCTGCTATAAATCCCAAGATGTTTTCATGACGTAACATTACAGTTTGATAAATCTCTGCCTCACGGAACCATGAACGTTCTTCTCTAGAAGAGAATATTTTCACAGCAACTTCTTCTCCTCTCCACTTTCCTCTCCAAACTTCTCCAAATCGACCTTTGCCAATACTTTCTTGTAACACAATAGTTCTTGCAATTGTTCTCTGAACAAGCAATGGCAAACCTGAAGATAAAAATAAATAGTATTCAATACAAACAATCAACAAAAGTATGGGTATCCAATACCACCATAGGAAAGGTGTAACTCTTTTAAGCTCTACTTTTAAGGAACTTACAATCTCAATGAAATAAAGACCACATTGCAGACACAGTAATTCATGATAAAAGGTAAATAATAAATACATTAAAAGAATCCAGAAACTCCTGGCTAGAGGGTCAAGGTAGGCTTTGTAAAGTAAGTTGAATTTAGACTGGCCTTTACAGAGGGATACCTAAGGAGAAGAAAAGGAGGTAAGGTATTCAGGTAAGAGGAATATGCAAGCATAGGTACAAGAAGGAAATGAATGATACATTTTTAGGGAACCAGCTTAGATAAACAGAAACGAGGCGCATGTAGTAAAGCAGTGGAAGAGAAGGTAAACTGTCACCAAAATGTGACAAATACTAGAGATGCCAAGCTCAACATGACCAATGAGAGCTGTGGGTAAACGAAGAACTATTAAAAATGTCTGAAAAGAGGCTATGTATGGGGAGAAATAATTTTTTTAAAAAACTGATTTTAGAGCCCTAGCCGGTTTGGCTCAGTGGATAGAGCGTCGGCCTGTGGACTCAAGGGTCCCAGGTTCAATTCCGGTCAAGGGCATGTGCCTTGGTTGCGGGCACATCCCCAGTGGGGGGTGTGCAGGAGGCAGCTGATCGATGTTTCTCTCTCATCGATGTTTCTAACTCTCTATCCCTCTCCCTTTCTCTCTGTAAAAATCAATAAAATATATTTCAAAAAAAACTGATTTTAGAAAGATGAATCTGGTAACAGTTTTAATTGGGGGAGGAGAAAAATATGTGAATATAAGATACATAAAAATAAATTCTGGCCCAACTTTTAATAAATCAGTAAATTATCACAGAAACCATTTCAAGATAGGCAATTTACTTGCTAGGAACTGGCTGCCTATGCAATACTAGTATCTTAAACAAGTGTCTAGCAATTTACTTTGGTAATTTTTTTTTTTACCAACTGAACTTGCCTTACTCTAAAACGCGTTTTTTGAAATATTGCCACACGTATTTCATTTATAGAAAAGGATTTACAACTACCTACAACATTTAAGTATCACTGTATTTGGGACTATTCCAGTTCACCTAAATAGCTGACAATTCAGGACCCATGTAAATGGGATGGTCAAGACAGGCTAATGGCACAAGGAAAGTTTTTGTTATTCCCATCACCCTTGGATTCTAGATGCAGACCTAAAATTAAAAACCACATCTATATTCATCATATTATCTATATTTGGTTACTCTAACCCACATGAATACCTGAGCATTTTCAAAAAGTAATAATTTGCTTCTAAAGACAAAAATAAACAAGTCTAATTTAGATCTCTATGTTCTCTGCTTTATTCTTCTGTACCTTGAGAAGAGTAAACTTCAATGGGGAAAATGCTTCACATTAGTGAATAGAAATAAGACCTAAATAACATGCATACATTATAACAGATCATAAGCATGAACAAGACATAAGGAACATTGGTATGAGACTCACTCTCTTTCAAACACTGCACACATATGCATGCTCACACACACTTGACGATCCAATGACAGCTTAAATATGGACACATGCACAACCTGAGACTCAAGTTAATGCAACAGGGATTAGCTTAGCTCTTCACTGTCTTCTCTGCAGTTCCCAAGTTAAAAGTAGTCTCTGAGAGAGATAGGACCTTTCCTCAATTATGGCCCTGGTATTGAGTAATAAGCATGTAAATTCATAATATGAAATGTTTAGTTTTACCTTTTCCTCAATGAGTAAAAGAACTAAAAGGGGCATTATGTATACACATTTTATTTACTCACAAGCATGAGTCCCATGCATGAGGTAGCAGGCAATAAGGCTTTATAATGAATAGAAGGGAAAGAAATGGCATTTTCTGTTGTCATTCAATAGACAATAGCTTCTGTTTGGATTAATCTGCAGGCCATTTAACACCCAATGAACTATGACAGGGAAAGGAGGCCTTAAACTAAGCTTTTTTGTACAATGCAGCAAATAGATCCTGTGTGTCAGATTTTTCTTCCAAATATCTTTTCAATAAGAGTAACACCTGTCATTTGGATATACGTGACCATTTCCCACGTGTTTTCACACAAACATTTTTGTCTCATTTGAACCTCATAACAATCTAATTACTTTGATTTTAAAGATGAAATAACTCAGACATGAGACATCAGCTAACTACCCCAAACTACAGTTACTTGCAAAAAATGTAAACAAGTTTTTGCAGGGTAAGGCATTAAAGAAGTGAAGCTTTCAGAGATCACAGAGCTGTAATCCCTGATGGATCTATAACTATAGATAAAATGGAAAAAATAACAATTCAAGTCTTTACTTCATATCTGTATCTTTAAGGTAAATAAATGTATTCTTATTGGAAAACCAACTGCCATCCAGACAGTAATTTCTTTTGCTCCTTTAGGTAGGCTTGTTCCCCTGGAGCCTATGCCAAGTGGCATGAGCTGCTTTGATTTCCCTGGGTATAAGTTTGGCAACAAGAGAACAGGTCCAAGGGATTAATTCCAAATGATCTGTAGCCACCCTGATTTCCTGTGACTTTTGGTCCTTACTTATCATATTTTGGTCCAGAATAACTTTTAGAATAAGCCAGATCTTCTTTGGGAACTCTTTGGCATAACTCAGAATCAATGGGAAATCCCAGGGAAGCCCTAAAACAATCTCCACTCCTCTACCACTCCTGCCCAAAGACTGTCGCATCTTCAGTACTAAGGCTGCTCCATCTCAATTCAACCTCTCATTGCTTCCTTCCTCACAAATTTCTCAGGGGTCCCTAAAGGCTGCCCTAAGAGATGTGGGCTCCAGTGCAAACTACATGTGTCCTAGAAGTCATAACAGAACTCACTTACTAAATAAATATATATATATAGCCAAATTCTACTGAAGAAGACTTCAGGTCATGAAATCAGTTTCTAAATGAACAGATAGATATATGCATCTTTCCTGATGCATATACATCAATATGTTAATTTCCTTAAAATAAATAGGCATTTGACATTTATGTGAACTTTATTATTAGCAGATGTGATTTTGTGCTTCAAAGTCATATTCTCCCCTAGTCACAACTTCTACTTTAACGTTTCTTTAGTCACTTGGTGATAAAATTAGTGAAATTCTCATTATATATTTTCAAATCTTCATTTTACCCATAAATATAGCCCTTATTTGAAGTTGATTTATACCTCTCAAAGGCGATAGTATATCTCATTTAAAGTCCTAACAAACCACTTTAAGTAGTATTACCAAGTGACTGTTCCATATTTCTGATGAAGAAATAGAAGCCCAAAGAGAAAACATGGTTTGACCAAGGTCAGGGAGCCAAGCAGTGACAAAGTGTGCACTGGAGTCTAGCTCTCTTAATTCCTACCTGAGTGTCACATTACAATACTAGAGGATAGAGGTCTTCCTCTCTTAGTATCCTTCCAAAGCAAGAAGTCAAAAATAAATCCCCTTTGGTTTATACATAAAGCAGTGCTATGTCAAATTCCACTTCTGAGAATAATTCTGGCAATTTCTTTTTTTAAAAAAATATATTTTTATTGATTTTTTACAGAGAGGAAGGGAGAGGGATAGAGAGTTAGAAACCTCGATGAGAGAGAAACACTGATCAGCTGCCTCCTGCACACCCTCTACTGGGGATGTGCCCGCAACCGGAGTACATGCCCTTGAGCAGAATCGAACCTGGGGCCCTTCAGTCTGCAGGCCTACGCTCTATCCAATGAGCCAAACCGGTTAGGGCAATTTCTTAGTCTATTTCTAATCCCACAAAAAAATTACTAGAACTGAGAAAAGCAAACATCACAGGAGCCATGGATCCATCCAGTTATTATATTAAATAACAAGGTGGTTAGACTTTTTTTCTGAAGTGAGAAAATGACAAAAAATTCATAAAGTAAATAACCTTCACAATTCGAAACACATTTTCTGTCATGCCTGTTTCTGTTCAAAGACAAAAATAAAGCTGTTAAACAATCCTAATAGAATGGGTAGCTGCATATCATTTGAACATCTTTGAACTCAGCCTGACCTATATGAGAATAATTCTTCTTATTCTTACTATCTCATGGAGTCCTGAGAAGGTGAGAATACTTTGAAATTTACACAAACATGAAGCTGATATACTGACTTATTTCAGTAAAAGTTAGTTCTAATCTGTCTACACTAAAGTAGCCATAGTCAGATATAGACCAAGCTTAAAGACCTTTACTAGGCTCAAGCTGGACTAGTATTCACACTATCCCAAGTTTTAACAAACCAAATCAAGTGGCTCAGCCAATTAATTAAATAATGCAGTTAATTTTTAGAAGATTTCTTAGGAAAAACAATTACATTACCTGATCCAGACCCCGATGTTGTCATATCATAAATTAAATCTTTTAATGTAGTACCCTCTGAAATAAAAGGGCGATCTAATGAAGGATCCTCTTCATTTGGCACTCGATGGTGAATGACAGTGCGGTTATGGCAGATATAGACCATCAACATGAGTGAGATGCAGACGAAGCAGACTGGTCCAGCAATGACAGCTGCCAGTTCAACGGGACCAAGGCCAGGTGATGGCTTTCCTGAAAAAGGGCAAGTGAAATAAATATAAAAAATACGATAGGTGGCATCCACAATTTCCTAATTCTCCACATTTCCTGTAGTTGGCCACTACCACCATTAGTCATAGAGCCTCATTACAGCAGCTCAGAGGGCTGGAAACCAGAAAAAGTGAGTCATTCAGCCTTCTCCCATTGGTTCTCCTTTTATGATCACCAACTTAGTCAACATTCACTTGTTCTTCCTGCATTTTTCAGCCATCTAAATAAATAACAAGGCCAGCTACCACCAGTATTCTAGGACCTCCCTATTTATTACTCTCAGGGTCACTAATAAAAGAACCAGGTGAGCAAAAGTTAAAAAAATAAATAAAAATAAATCTATATACAGCCTCACTACTCCAAAACAATTCAGTTTAGTGTAGGTATGTGTGTGTGTATAATATGTATGTGTATATATATATATATCTCCATCAATTTTGTTCAGGCAAAATATATTCTTTGTTTTTTATAATAAAGTTTGCATGTGTATACTATCTACTCTATTTTAATCACTTGAGTTTTTAATTCAAGAGCACTTATTTTCTTATCATCTCTTTTAATAATTATTGCTTTACATTGTTTCAGAAAGTCTTCTATAATAATAAAAGCATAATATGCTAATTAGACCGGACAGCCTAACAACCTTCCGGACGAAGACAAGGCGGGGGCTGAGGCAGAGGCAGTTAGGGGTGATCAGGCAGGCAGGCAGAGGTGGTTAGGGGCGATGAGGCAGGCAGGCAAGTGGTTAGGGATGATGAGGCAGGCAGGCGTGTGGTTGGGGCAATCAAGTAGGCAGGCAGAGTGGTTAGGGGTTATCAGGCAGGCAGGCGAGCGGTTAGGAGCTAGCGGTTCTGGATTTCGAGAAGGTGCAGGCCGGGCTGAGGGAACCCTTGCCCTGTGCATGAATTTTGTGCCCCGGGTTTCTAGTTAATTATAATTATTTTGGCATTCATCCTGAGCCTTGTTGGTTCACTGCACACCACCATTTCTTTAATAGCACATCTTCTCCATTCTTGATATCCTTATTTGGATTTATTTCTTATAACATAGAATTCTAATTCTAATAATTTCTTTCAGGAAGAGTACATGTGTGTCCTTATACGCTGAATACTTAATTATCTAAAGATGCCTTTGCCTTTATATATGAAAAATCTTGGCTTGTCTAAAGAATTTTAAGTAACATTCACTATATGATGTTCTACTGCCCTCTAGCATTTAAAAAAAGCACAAAATCTGAACTTTTTTCCCTTTTATAGTCAATCCGTGTTCACTTGTGCTGAATGCATATACATTTTTCTTTATTCTTGAAATTGGTATGTCTTTTATTATATGTATTTAGATAAGTATTTTTTCATTAATTTTGCATAGAAAGTCTGCTCTTATGTCTTTTTCTGAAATATTTATACTAAGCATATTGGATCACCTAGATCTGTCCTCTGTATCTCTTAATTTGCTCACCAACTGTCTTTTTCTCTGAATTGTAACAGTTTCTCAAGCTCATCTTGCCTTAAGCTTGTCTCACACTTGACTATAAAATTATCGTATCCAGTCTGCTGTTCATTTTCAATAATGCATTTTAAAAAATAATTCATCAATCAAGCTTTTCATCTGAAAGCAATCTTTATTGCTTTCTTGTCAATCTTTATTGTCCTCATTTTACAGTGAACAACTGAAAAATAGACCTTGGTCTGTCTGAAAGTCCTTCCCTATCATGTGGTAAGTCTATTTCAAAGGGTGACATCTACTCTGATTTATCCAGTTTAGTTCACTCCTTTTAAACCACTGAAGCTTTTCATTTGGTAATTTTTTTGTTCTTTGTGTGTCAAGGACCTGGGAATAAGGAATTTGTGCATTTTTAGCATTAGAAATGAAGTGAGTCCTTCTCAAGGTTTTGGAAATGGATAATTCTGGAATTACCATTTTGTCATATTAGAATTGCAGATGCTTACAAAAAGAGCCAGAAAGGTTAAGAGTCTGACAGAGCCTGGCCACAGGGAGCTTCCTGGTCATGCTGCAGACACAGTTGCACTTTGCTGTTATCACATGTACCAGGTGGGGGACTGCTGCCCTTCTCTAACGGGTACTGGTAAATTGTAAAGTTTCTCACAAGTGTAGGCATGTGGGCAGTATTCTTCCATTAATTCTGCTAGCATTAATATAGGTCCCCCTATTATTATATTCCTTTTGATTACTACAGTAGAAATTTGAGGACAGAATTAAATGTGCTTAGATTGACATCTTAAACCAGAACCTTAAATCAATCTAATCCTAAGAGTTTATTCTTGAAATTCCTAGCTTTTCCAGGACATTTTTTCATAAGGCAAGATGAAATTACAAAATGACGGCATCTGGACTGTTTAGTGCTGCTTTCAATTCCCACCCATTATTGATTGCTTTAAAAGGACAGAGCACTAAACAAGGAAGAAGAAATTCACTCTGAAGACATTCTGAGCACATACTGCTGTGGTGAGCAGAAAGTATCATGGAATCAACCTCTCAAACAACACACACCCAGGAATCAGGATCTTGGCTACTCTTATAACCCTGCCACTGTGGACAAGTTTGTTCTTGCCTCTAAACTGAACAAGCTGGGGTAGACAATCTCTAAGATCCCTTCCAGTTCTAAAATCATAGTCAGAGTCTAAGGCTTTCCTTTGTAGTATCAAGAAAAAAAAAAATCTTATGCAATAACTTACCAACAGTTGGAAGTTCTATTTTATTGCAGTGGTCCTGATTGCAGCAGTATGTTGTAGTAGCAGACCCAGTTTTTGAAGATGGTGCACATACAAATGGCCTGTCTCGAGGAATTAGGTCGATTTCAGCTATACACATACTATTGTGTATAATTTTGTCTGTGGTCTCTGTGACAGAGACAAAGCAGAGTCCATCTGTGACACAAGTAAAATTGTCTTTTGTGCAAAGTTGGCAGAAACACTGTAATGCTAGGAAAAGAGAACAAGATTTTATTAGAAAAAATTCTCAAGGTTAATATTTTGAAATTATCCTGTATTCACTATATGACAGTCCTGATCTTATAGTAATTTCTTTGCACTTTTCAAAAAACAAAACTCTTCATTCCTCTTAGGAGAGTTGAGAAGCACATATATGTAGGAGCCAAATATGATAAAATTTGGACCAAGGTTCTTGTCTAAAGCTTTTTTGCTTCCAAGTATAGAGAAATTGTTACATGCAATATCAAGGTAAGGCAAGCATTTGCCCTCCCGTTTGAAACAAAGTACATTTAAATTTTTACTGGTTATACTTATTCTTACTAGTCCAAAACTATGCATTCACATACTCCCCCTATCGAAGAGCAATGTATGAAAATACTATAATCTTCCAATGTCGGTTTGGAAATGCCATTTGGGTGGACTTATGGTTAATGGAGTAATGGAAATAGATTTGTATTGCACCACTCTTTTCTCTTGTACAAACCCTGGGAAAGACATTTCTCTTCTAGCCAGGATTACGGTGCTTTTTCAGTAAGCCAAAGAGACTGCACAGGTAACAATACATATGTGCTCTAACAAAACAGGCAACCTGGCTACAGAAATGACTAGAGAAACACCAGCTCCATGCTCACTTCTATCTATTTGATCTTTATGGCTCAACTCAAGGAGTGACCCCTTTATGGGAGTCTTCCCCTAATTATCATCAATACCTTTCTGTGCACACACAAATAGACCTTCCACCATATGCTCTCCAATGATTAACTGTTTCCCAAAGCACACACTGCCTACCAGAATTGCTACTTTTGTTTTTCTCTCCCCTATGAAACTCTAAGCTCCTTGAAGGCAGGAACCCATATTAAACATTTCTGTAAATCCACATCTAGCATTGAGTCTGGTATGTAGCAGCATTCAAAAATACTCATTGACTGAACAACAGAATAGGCACGTACATTTCACTATGATCTCATGAAACTACAAAGCACATTTACTTCTTTAAGTCAAATCAAACTTCCCAATTATTTGTTGGCAAGAAAAAAGGAAGAGTCCGTGTATGTAGAATGGCCACCTATGATGAGGCCAAGGAAGTCTATACTATCTAGAAAGAGTGGCTAGGCAGACAAGCAGGCCAGAATGAAGCTAAGTCTCTGAACAGCTAACTTGCTGTGCAGGCCTGAGTTGCTCCAATACTTCACATTTCCAAGAAAGGCCTTCTTCATTCAGGACTGGCCCTTGGTCAGTTCCTAGGAAATGAACTCTGAATCCTTGAAATATTCTCCCTGATAAGAATGCTGCAAGCCTGTGTGACTGGGCCCCAAGAAAAATCCTGGATACCAAGGTTCTGGAGAGCTTCCCTGGTTGACAAGTACTGTCACATCATTGCTGAGCTATGGACTGCACCTGTGCCACTGCACTGGGAGAGGACACCTGGAAGCTTGCACCTAGTTTCTCCTGGACTTCGTCTCATGTGCCTTTTCCTTTTTATGATTTTAATCTGGGTATTTCCACTGTAATAAACCATAACCATTAGTATAACAGCTTTTCTTAGTCCCATGAATCCTTCTAGCAAGTCTTCGAGCCGGAAGTAGTCTTGGATCCTCCCACCTGCTAAACCCAAATTCAGGAATGTCAGGATCTCCTCAAGCAGCTGATTCTTGGTTGCTGGCTTCATTAGCATACTTGTCTATTCTATTTCTAGATCAGAAAAGTTTTACCTTAATCATTATAAAAAACGTTGTTTTTCTTCATAGATAGTTCAGCTATTTCAATGATCTCTTCCTTTTTAGGAAGTATAAGAGACACTATCATAATCTGACATTTAAAGACTGTTAAGATACAGTAATTACTCATGGTGAGGTTTGGTGGTGGTTATAGGTTCCTTGAGTATAATTTCCTAAGGAGGGATTCTGAACCAGAAATCCATGGACTGGCTTTAGAGCGCATGAATCCCACAAAACTGTAGGCCAAATGCTGTATGTATTTATTTGCCTTTTCAAGGAGAAGTTTTATAGAATTACAAAGGGTCTGTCACCCATAAAAGATTAAAACCACCATCATAGGAGATTGTCATCGTTCTCTCCTGAATCCTCTTTACCCATAAGTAATCATTCAACCAAGGTTTTCTAAGTATTAGCTTTTTTATCAGTTACTCTACCAAAATCTTAGTACACAACGATTAATAACTCATGGTCACAGCCCTTGAAGAGTTCCAAAGACTAGTGAAGGAGAATGTTACAATATAATATGGTAATTGCTATATATAAAACTTCTGCCATGAATACTCTCCGAGTTCTAAGATCTTCACAGCTCCCTTAGAGTACATGAAGTAATAGTTCAACACTTGGTCTAACAATTAAAAATTACTTTTGGGTTCTAATTTACTACTCACATTAAAAATGCTATCTAGGGCCACACATGTCTCACCATTATGACCATCGTGTCTTTCATGACCGTGGTCTTTACACATACTATCTCTCTGCTAGTTTAAACCCACCCTCTGAATCTTTAAGACCAGTGGTTCTCAACCTGTGGGTCGCGACCCCTTTGGCGTTCGAACGACCCTTTCACAGGGGTCGCCTAAGACCATCCTGCATATCAGATATTTACATTACGATTCATAACAGTAGCAACATTACAGTTATGAAGTAGCAATGAAAATAATTTTATGGTTGGGTCACAACATGAGGAACTGTATTTAAAGGGCCAGAAGGTTGAGAACCACTGCTTTAAGACCCTGTTCAAACAAGATTTTGAACCCCTCCTCTACCCTTAAGATAACTAACTAACTGGGCAGCTCCTTTCAGTAAGTTCCCATAGCTCTCTTGGCATACCTTTGGGATAGCACAAATCCAACTATTTATAGTTTGTTGTTAAAGTGTCTCTCATTACATTAAGAATAGCCAAGTTGCCCTGGCCGAGTGGCTTAATTAGTTGGAGCTTCATCCCGTGCACCAAAAGATTGTGGGTTCAATTCCCAGTCAGGACACATACCTGGGCTACAGGTTCAAACCCTAGTCGGGGTGCATGTGGGAGGCAGCCGATCGATGTTTCTCTTTCTCTTTCTCTCTCTTTAAAAAAAAAAAGTTTTTAAATCAATAAACATGTCCCCAGGTGAGACTATAAAAAAAAAAAAAGAATGGCCAAGTTTTTTTTGGTTATTGTTTGTTTTCTTATCTTTAAATCCTAGATTCCTAGATAGTGATCAGAAAAATATTTTCCAAAGCAGCGTTTCCTAAACAGGAGGTCACAAATATGTCAACAGAAAGAGGAGTCTAAGAATTGTGTACAATTTTTTTAATGTTTAATTTAAAAGATAATCTAAAATGAATGACATTCTGGGTCATGAGTAACTACCATCTAAACAAATATTGCCAGTAGGCTTTCCCTGGTGCTTCTTCAGTTGTGTTAAGATCGCCTTCATGCCAAATATCCTCACAGCATACTGTACGAGCAAAAGTTTCATAGTAATTGTAATTGAAAGAGTGAAAAATCAGAGCATATGGCAATACAGGCATGATATATTCAAAAGCCAATAGCTAACAGCCAATACCATGTACAATTTGTAAAAGTTCATTCACAGTAAATGTGGTTGCATGAAACAACATTTTTCCATTCTCACGCCAGCATTAATTGGTTTAGAGAACCATTTAATAAAGATTTCAGTAATGTCACAACGTTAAACCTCATCTTCAAGACCGCAAACAGTTCTTTAAAACTGGTATTTGAGGAATGCTTGCTGGCAAGTGTTTTGCTTAGGTATGTGGTCTGATTATCCTAAACTTACAAAGTCTTAAAGTCATCGACACCACCTTACACAACATAACTTATGAGAATGGCACTTTTAGCTTTTAGTATCGTTGAAATTAAAATACAGAAACAGATTTCAAATGGAATCACACCTAAGGCTATTTTTTTTTCTACTGTGAAAACTAAACATTATCTGTCATATTGAATTGTATTAATTGGAAGGAAAAGAAGGTTTTTCTCACCAGAGATTAAATTCCAGTCTTTTTACCACTCTGACTTGGCTGGTGATGACCCTTCTTTCCCTTACCCTGCCTATTACAGCACACTTACATTTAACTATACAGTGAGAATATTTCCAAATATGCACCAACAGGCAGGTAAAGAACAGACTCATTGATAGAGAGCAGGCAGACAGCTTTGGTGGTGTTGGGTGTTGGTGGGGATGAAGGGATGGAGCAAAAAAGAAAGAAAGAGAAAGAATTCATGGACACACCGACAACAGTGTGGTGATTGCAGGGGTCGGGGGTGGGTGGAGCTGGAAGAGGGTATAGGGGAGATAAATGGTGATGGGGAAAAAAAACTCCCTCCAGCCACTGCCCTGGGTTTTGTTCCTCAAAACTTGGGGTTCTTCTCAACTCCACCCCCTTGGGGTTACCCTGCAGTGGCAATGTCAAAGGAAGCTTGTCTAAATACCCTGCACCATACAACGTGAAAGTAAATTCTCCAGTAGTCTAGATAACATTTCACTCCCAAATTTAGGGCTTCAAACAAAAGTATGATTTATCCAGACATTACTCCAGAAAAATTTCATTTACGTCTGCTACCTTTAAATCACTTAAGAAGCATTATTTAATTCAACACACACTTCCATCTTGGAAGAACAGGGGACACTCCTAAATTCTCAATCACTTCTTTTTCCACAATACCTCCATTTTCTAGTCTCCTAAGCTCCATGAATTAGCTGATAGAATGTTGACTGTTATCAGAGCAAAACACACTAAGAATAGGCTGCCTAAATGGCAAGATGAGATTTAATAGGGGCAATTAATACAAAGGCCTTCATTTAGGTTCAGTATCAAATAAACTGCACAAGTACAGGATAAAGATTTGCTTAGCAGATTTGGGGAATCTGTTTAACAACAGATTTTTTAAAAAGTCAGCAGTATTTACTGTTAATTGTAGCCATGGTGATGGGGGAAACAGAGGGAGAACTGGGCACAAAATCTCACAAATGTCCAATATAATAAG